CATGCATTTATTGAGTGCCTGCAGTATGCTGGTCTCTGTAAGATTTCCCCAAGCAGGGCCTACATTCTGGGTGGCAGAGACGGACATTGAACAAAAAATATATATATATATATATATATATATATATATATATATATATATATATGAATGAGGGTGGCAGTAACTGCTGTGAAGGAAAATAAAGTGAAGCAAGGGGTTGAAGACTGAAAGAATAGAAGGTGCTTCTTGAGATATGGAAAGGCCCCACACAGAGAGAGAGAAGGGAACCCTGCAGTTCCTGGGGGTGGAGACGTGTGCAGGGAGGACCCATGCCAGGCAGAGGGACAAGTGCATAGTGCTTGCAGGGGGAGTGAGGCACAATCCCCAAGTAATGGCTGAGGAGCTGGGGTGGCAGGTATGAGTCTAGTAAGCCAGTGGAGAGTAGCAGGAGGCAAGGTGAGGGCATGTGGAGGTGCAGGTTTATCAGGGCCTTCTGGGACATGGTGGAGGCTTCTAGATGTAATTCTGAATGTGGTGGGAACCAACAGAGACCTCCTGCCTGTCCCACCCTATTATTAATAAAAGCCTGGCTGCAGGGTAGGTGTCCATCCAGACTCTGGTATTGGCCTCATTAGAGAAATGGGAAAAACGCTGCTTTCCTTTGTGGGTGGCAGCCCTTAAGTTCTGCAGTGACAGGAAGTCACTCTCTCTTTAGTGGAGTCACCTGTACCTTCTCACAGCCCCAATATCAGCGCTCTGTATGGAGAAGCCTTCCTCGTCAGCCCTCTTGGCTTCAAGGTCTGCAGAGCAGTTGGGCAAAAGCTTCCCAGCCCCAGCTGGGTCTCATTAGCAAGCCCAATACTCCGGAGTTAATAAGCTTAAGCCCTGGATTTCCTGAGGCTACCAACTCCAGCTCCTGTGACTTCTAGGACAGTGGGTGCTTTTCCAAGTTGCTGATTATGGCTGACAAATCCCTCCGGGGGGGTCTTCGTTCTACTGAAGGTGGTCAGGGTCACTGCATTTCCAGTTCTGCAATTTCTCTAATTTTAGCCCAGGGAGCAGCCCCAGTGCACTTCTGCAGGTGGCCACAGGGTGGGAGGAAGGGGAGGTTCCCTTTTATTTGCAACAGACCAATGAAATGGATTGTAGAATTTAACCTGAGGATAAGCGGGGGAAGGGGAGTGGCGGTCTCACCTCAAATCCAGCCAGCACTCTGCCCAGCCCCGACTTAGGTTAGCTCCCAGGCCCCCCCAACAAGCACAACAAGGTGCAAAGCCATTTGTATTGCCATTTTTATATGAAAAGGGTGGACAAAAAATACATAACCATGAATGTATTTTTTTTAAATCTCTGGAAAAATACCCAAGAATTTAAAAATAGTTGCTGCTGGCTTGTGGGTCAGGGGAATGGATGACTGGGGTGTGTGTGTGTGTGTGTGTGTGTGTGTGTGTGTGTGTGTGTGTGTGTGTGTGTAGACAGTAGGGTTTTCCATCCCTTTATACCTCTTGAATTTTGAAGCTGTATTTTTGGTTCAAATAATAAATTGTATTAGAGGGAGAAAGTGGAAGGGGTAACTTCCCAAGGTTGTGAATTGAGGGGGCTGGGTTTGAGGCACATGCCTGACTCACAACCCCAGGGAAGCCTTAGATACAAGGAGACACATGACCTTCCTGTAGCTTTTTCACCATCGCCAGCAAATCTTCAGTCTTCTTCAAAGGCTTGGTCTGCCCTGTGGAGACAAAAGCCAGAATTACAGGCTCCAGTGAGAGTGAGAGGGAACTGAGGAAAGGTCCAGGCCTCTCTGGGAAGGGAAGAAGGAAGCCCCAGTGGGTTCTGCAGACACCCTGGGCTGGAACTGAGGATAGGCCGAGGTCCAGGCTTCCGGCCGGAGCAGGGGCCCGGGCCTCATCCCTGAGACTTATGGTGTGTGCTGGGTGAATCAGGACCCCTAATGTCAGCTTCTTCCTGAGAGGTCAAAGGACTCCACATACATCCCCTTAATGAAACTCAGCGGGGAGAGAAAGGGAAGCACTTTTGCTGCTGCTGTTGCTGCTGCTCAAAATCAGTGTGAGGCTCTCACCAATGCGATAGCACAGAATGATTTCATATGAATTTCTTTAAAATCATTGTAGGCCTCAGTTTACAAATTCTTGAAAAATTTAAGGGTCTAGGAAATAGTTATTAATGACTGCTAATGGCTGCTAATATCGAAAAAAAGACAACTGGGTATTATGAGAAAAACATAACACCACCTTTGAAGGATTTTTGCAAAAAAAAAAAAAAAGGAATCTTATCAGGTTTCCATACCTAAATACCAATTTAAAGGAAATACAAGGGGCAGAGAAACATGTTAAATGATATCACTGGGGCACAATCAGCATCAAAAGACTCTGGGAAACTCCACAGGACAACCTTGTTTCTTCAACAAATAAATTGCAAGGAAGAAAAAAAGGAGAGGAAACTCTATGATTAAATAGACGAGACATATATCAATCAATTGTAATGAACAGACCTTATTTGGATCTTGATTCAAATGTACTTTTCACCATATATACTTATATATATTTTTAACATGAGCCCATTACTTTTAAAACAACAGCAATAAACAGAAAAATATATGAACATCTTAAACTCTTGAAATCAGTGATAAAAGGTCAAAGCCCAACGACCCGCTCCTCTCCAAGGAAAACTGGGCAGGGATGAAAGGCAGTTCACAAATCACATGATAGCCGAAAAGTAAATGAAATGCTTATCCGTGGTCATATATAATGAAAAGTCCCTTCCCCTCAGGCCCCAAATTCCTCAATTCCCCTCCGCAGAGGTCATTAGTGTTACAAGCTATTTGTGCACACTTGGAGATCGTTCGATTCAGACACAAGCATATTTTCACTCTTCCTATATAAGTGGTATCATAAGTGGTGCTGCACAGCTTGTATTTTTCATTTGGTGATTTTTAAATTCTTTTTAGTGGCTGCATAGTGGTCCACTGAATGCATATATCATAATCCAAGAGAAGCCCCCTACTGGTGAATATTTGGATTGTTTCCCTTCGTTTGCTCTTACAAACAATGCCACAGTGACCATCTTTCTTAGTTTTCTTGGGTTGCCAAAACAAAGTACCACACACTGGGGCTTCATTTTGTGTGTGTGTCTGTCTTCACCTTTCATTCTCTTTATCTCTGTGTCTAAATTTCCCTCTTCTTATAAAGACACATTGGATTAGAGCCCACCCTAATCCAGTATAACCTCGTTTTAACTAGTTATACCTATATCTATAAAGATCCTATTTCCAAGTAATGTCACATTTTGAGGTTCTGGTGGACATGAAATTTTGGGGGGACACAATTCAACCCAGTATGCTATGCTTGGACATTCATCTTTGTGCACACATGGGAGTGTATTATTGGATAAATTCCTAGAAGGCTACCTCCTGGATGAAAGGGCACGTATATTTTTAAATTTGACTGGTATTACGGAATTGCCCTCCACCTGTTTTGGGCAGGCCCCATAAGGATTCCTTCCCCATACTCTTTCCAGCCAAGTATGTTTTCAACCTTTTCCACTTGTGCCAATCTGATAGGCAAAAACAGTGTTCTATTTAAAACTTTCTGGTAGTTAATATCCAAAACTTACTCAATTTCTCTGTAGCAGAAATTCCACTTCTAGGCATCTATCTTAAGGACATAATTAAGAATGGTGCACAAGGTGTTCATTGGTTCACTGTTTGTAATCTTAAAAGATGGAAGCAACCTAAAGATACCTTAGTTGATTATAGCACATTCGTAGGATGAAATTCTTTGTAGCCATTAAAAATCATGTTGTAAACCTGGGATTCTTAACAGGAGCTTATTAAATTTTGTTGAAATATTTCATGGTATGTTCACTTTCTTTACATCTTTTTGTCTTGCCTGAAATCTTTTACAAATTAGTGTGCATTAATTTTGCATTTGAATTTGTAAATTACTCGATAAACAAATGTAGAACATGGAGTAAATAGTAAGTTTCCCCTCACCAACAGCTCCTCCTCTGAGTCACTCCCCTTCCCAGAAGTAACCACTACCAACAATTTGCTGAAGACACTCAGATCTCTTTTTAAAACATGTTTCATGTATTGCTTTTTTACTTTCTTATTCAAGGAACTTTCTAAAAACATCCAAACACTACAGGAATATGTGAAGTTAAAAATAAAACTTTTCTGTCTCCGCTTGTCTGTAAATCTCAGTGCCTTTCTCTGATATATTCACTTTTAACAGGCTGGTATGTTTTCTCTAGAGACTTTAACGTTTTAAAAAATACTCTTAATTATTTGGAAATTAAACAAAAAAATAAAGCTACTTTAATGAGAGGTGTTTGTGATTTTTTCTTTTTAAATATTTCATTCTGAAAATTTCCAAATGTACATGACAGTAGGGAAGATACCATGAAGAACTCTGATTTACTCATTGCCCAGATCCGACAATCCTTAATAGTCACGAAATTTGCTTCAGCTGTTTTTCCTGTACCACAGTATTTTCAAGCAAGTCCCAGGCTTCATGACATTTCATCCCCAGATACTTCATTAAGAGTCTCACTACTTGAAGACATTTTCTTAGATGACTCCAATCCTATAACACCAAGATGAATAATCATCACTAATCACTGGATCATTAATATCATCCAGTACCCAGAACATAAGTGATTTTCTCTCTGTCCCCACTTATCTTTTACAGCTGCCTTTTGCAACAATTTCTGTGAAAGCTCCATCTATGTTTTCCTCTCCCCTGTATTTCTAGTCCTAGTCTTGGGGTAAGATCATGGATGATCAGTAAATTTTTAAATAATCCAACATCTTGATAATTAAAAAAAAAAATCTGTTACAAAACAGCCTATAGAGCATACCTTTTTAAACATTTTATTTTGAAATTTCAAGATGTACATAAAAGTTGTAGAAATAGACCACCATGTTCCTATTTGCCCTTGTATCAGGCGTCCCATTTCTGTACCATAAATTGCAGGCGTCATTATCCCTTAATGTTCCAGTGTATATTTCCTCTATACGAGGGGAACCTACCAGGTAACCACAATATAACCACCAAAACTGATATGTTAATAGTAATCAATATTAATATATGATCCTTGGATAACATTCAAGTTTTCCCTTTCTTATATTTTAAAATTATATAGTACTACTTATATTTTCCTAAAAGAAAAATAAAACAGAAAAAAATCACAAAAATGCCTGTACTTCAGCACAGCCCCCCAAACCTAAGTCCCCTGTCAAGTCATCAGCTCGGCCTTTCGCCCTCATTTTTCTGTGCAACCCACAAAGGCTACTGTTGATACTGTCACCCATCCTCCCTTTGACATCCCAAGTTGCTTTTTTCTCATATAAATATGACCTCTTTTGGAGTTCATTCTGTCAATAAGTCGTGATCTTGTCCTTTTAAACTTAACTCTTACTTATTTTAAATTAAATTGGAATTATTTTTTCCTGTGGCTTAAAAAAAGAGTCCACCATACAGGCATTTCTTACAATGCATGGATATACCAAAATTTAGCCATTTTCATGATTGCTCCTTGGGTTTTGCTTCCATCGACACCCCAATGATCCTTCCTGGTCCACACATCTGTGCATTCTCCTGATTACCAAGCATGGGACTGAAGATATGCAATAGCATTTTGGATAATGTAAGTGTTGTCAACTGATTTGAGCAAAACCTGTACTGGTCAGCTCTCATCCGTGAGGCAAGAGATGGCCTTTTCCCCCAAAGAGTAATCAATACATGATATCCCTCATTTTATAAAGCCAATTTTGATGGCTAGAAATGGGAACCTGACATGCTTCAGAATTTCTCCATTGTGAAGTTAACTCCAATTTTGATGAATTTTGAAAGATGCTAAAAATTTTTCAGCAGTGTCAGCTATATTAAGTGTTTAATAAATGAGATCTGCATGTTTCGTTTCTGTCCATCCTGTGTTGAAAGCTGGCATTCAATGTGTGGTCCTAACCTGAGAGCTCTCCATGTTAAAATTATTTCATTATTCATACAAAGAAAATGATTGAGCACCTGCTATCTGCCAAGCAGGTATTGTTTGGGCATTGGGGAAACAGCAATAAATGATTCTCAATTCCTAGGACAGACGATAACAATAATCATTGTTATTGATGTCTGCATGGAAAGGTGTGGAAAAACGCAATCTAACACATTTATTAATATAGTGGTTTAAAGACTGCAGGAAGGGGGTTTAGAGATTGATGAAAGGAGGGCAGAAAGCTGACAACTGTTGAAACAATGATGGGTACATGGGCATTCATCATGCTCTTTTCTGTACTTTGGTACATTTTGAAAACCCCTATAGTTAAAAAAATGCTAGTGGCATAGTAGTGGATTACTGTCTTGGGACAGTCTTTTGCCTAGACTGCAATTCCCACTTGTCTGTAGGACAATTTCCCCCCTCACTAGGGTGTGGGTGTCATTATCAAAATGCCCTGGACAAAAGGTCTGTGGGAGTGGCCATTCCCAATTAAGATTTAAGAGTCCATGCAGTGATATGAGCAGGGTGTCCAATGATATCGGGGGAGTTACCGTTCCTTTTCTTAGATGTGGCAGCAGCGGAGTCATTTTTGTGAGAATGTCCACCCCCATTCGTTGCTTAATGTTCCAGGGTATATTTCCTCTATACATGGGGCGTCTATAAAAGATGCATACTATTTAGCCTATTGTTTACATTAAGAACTAAACAATATGTCCAATAAAACTGATAAGTTAATCTAGATGAGAATATGGGTGTTTTTTTTCTCCACTTTGTTGAACAGCAGGCGGCTTCCAATGTTTTTTTTTTTTTTTTTTTTTTAGTGCTATCAATATTTCATTATTGTAATGGGACAAAGGTTCCATCCTCCTGCTGGCAGGAGAGGCCCTCATTACCTTCACCCTCCTCAACCTCGACTTCCAGCGGCTCCATTTTCAAAGGCTCCAACTTCCCCGCCATTTTCCAGTGCGAGGCTTTTGCGCCTGCGCCTTGGATGATGGGTCGGGGGGGCACGCCGGTGGGTAGACCGGTCCTGCAGTGCGCATGCGTGCAGCGAGCGTCCGCTCATCAGGACAAGCGGCTGGACCCGAGTACCTGATTGGCAGTTAGTGGCATGTGTCTGCAAGTCGTTTACATAAAACAAGGGCAGAACGAGGATCTTAGTGGGTTGGGGAGTTAGTATTGTGCATATACATACAAACTTTAGGGCCATCTCTCCTTCTCTGGGTTGCTTGTAATTGTGTAGGTTGTGAGAAAATCGGGGACAAATGTGCCTGTTATGCGGTGGAACACAAGAGTTCGAATCCCTTTTCGTTCACAAATGCTCCCTTAACAGCCTGTGAGAGGTTATCTCTATTTCACGAATGAGCAGAGAGAGCCTTAGGAGCTAAGTGTACCTCCTATGTAAAAACTCGATCTCAGCCAACGTGTGCAGTCAGGGGCTTCGCCCTGGGTTATGTATCCCGCAGATTGTGGAAGCCACCTTCTCATTAACAGCAGCAGCCAACACTGACAACAGGGTAAGGATGACATACATGAAGGGCAGAAGAATGTCCTTGTGGGGAGTGGTTTAGGCCTTTTATGGACAGTTTTTTGTTGTTGTTTTTTTTTTAGCTGAGCCATCCTGCCACCTGTTGGCAGCTCAGCTCCAGCCGGGAATCCAACCAGCGACCCTGTTGCTCAGAGCTCACACTCTTGAGCGAGCTCTGAACCAACTGAGCCACTCGGCTGGCCCCCAGTTTTTTTTCTTTAAAATATTCTCAGGCCAGTTCCCAGCACAGGTTGGCCCTGCATTTCCAATTCCAGAACCCCCATGGGCCAGCCAAAGAGACCTTGGCCAGCCTTGGACACTCAAGAAGCAGGCAGACTCTGGATGCGGGAAGAGGGTGTAGGGCCTAGGACTGGAGGAGACAGCCCCTGACAGAAGCTGGGGCATCATCCAAATGGAGGAGGTGAGGCAGAGGGAGGGGAGGAGGCTTAAGGAGTTCTCTGTAGAGGGGCATGAGGGGGCTGGGGATACAGCCTCCTCACCTGTGTGCAGTCAGGCTGCCACCCACTTCTCGTTTGTGGGCAGGCCCTCAGATCTCGCCCCATTGCCCAGGGAGAGAAGGCCGAGCCACAGACACCATCATCACCCACCAACCCCCCCACACACCTGCCCACCCCATTTCCAACGTGCAGACAGAAGGGTAAAAGCCAAAGGTGCTTGTTCCCAGCACTGCCCAATCTGGGAGCTCTGCCTCTCAAGGTCCAGGAAATAAGCCATTGTGGGAAGCTTGGTCCGTAGAGGCAGCTGGGGCTGCAGGGGGTGTGGAGTACTTGGGTGGGTAACGAATGAAGAGCCGATCCTCCTCTTTCTTCACCCAGCGCAGGAGTTTGGTCACTACCAGGATGGCACCTGCCTTGGTCACCAGGGGGCTGAGGCAGGTATAGAGCTCAAATTTGGAGGTCACCTGTGGGTTTGAGGAGAGACAGAGTCAGCTGGGCTGGAGCTGGCCATGTCCAATAGTGTCCACCTGACCCTAGCCCCAGGCCTGTCTCCTTTTTGGAAGACACACCTGGCAGCAGCTCCTACCTGGTGCTGCCTGGTCACTAGGCTAAAGCAGGTAAGCTGATATTATTGTGTTATGGGTGGGCTAGGGCTTCTCAGTCGGGCCAAGGGGTCATCTAGACCTAGTGGTTTCAAATGGGTGATGCTAACTGTGTGTGCGTTTGTGTGTGTCTGCACGTGTGCTCTGAGCCTCTGTTTACTCATCGGTGGACTGGGTATACTAACAACGCTTAACATTTAGTGAGCAATTGTTGTATACAAGGTCCTGTTCTAAGCTCCACACACCTATGTTTTCATCACCTGGACCTGAGCGTAATATGAGGATTAATCCAACTGAATCCTCACACCAACCTGAAAGACTCAGCCTGATTAGCTCACCAGCATCTTTCCACACCCTCTCACTGCTCCCCCACTCGCTCCCTCTGTTCCAGCCACTGTAGCCTCTCCTTGCTATTCCTCTAACACATGCCAGGCGTAGTCCCATCTCACGGCATTTGCACAGTCCTTTCCCTATGCCAGGCGTACTCTTCCTCTAGATACCCACGTGGCCCACTACCTACCCGCCCCATCTCCACAGTGAGGCATCCCCTGACCACCCAACTGAAAATCCTGGGCCTACCATAGCTTGGTTTTGAAATGCCATTCTGTACTAAAAGGTACAAGGGCTCCTTGGACAGATGGCTGATTTCATGGACTGGCAAAGGGAAAGTATAAGATGAACTCGGAACATCCTGTGCCAGAAAGAAGCGCTCCAGCAGTGATGGGGACACATCAAAAAGACACAGGGGCCAGCCTGGCAAAGTCATGGCGCCCACCGGCTAAATCAGACAATGTGAGCACTGAAATAAATGATAGAAAAGGCTTTGAGCCCACTGAATTAAAGAAAAATCCATGGGACCAAACAGATATAAAATTAAAAATTCAACAAATACAGGCGGAAGAAAAGTTCTTCCATACCACAGAATTTCAAACACCACCTGTGGAAGGAATGATAGAAAAATAACCATCTAGTAAACACCAGAGGAATAACTGTTGCAGGCAAGAATCATGAACAGATATTAAAACCAGTGGATAAAAGTATGATAAAAACAGAACATGATATTTACAAACTACAAAGGGGAAAATATTAACTTTATAGTGGAGAAACCTGGCAGACACCACCTTAACTAAGTGATGAAAATTAACATCAACAATGGGACAAACTGACGTTGTGGGCCTCCTGACAGGATGCAGAGAAGGGCACAACATTACTTCTGTGATAAGCTTCCCCAAAATGTATAACCTCAATATAGTCATGAGAAAATATCAGAAAAAACCCAGTTAAGGGGCATTCTACAAACAAACTGGCCGGTAACTCTAAAAGTGCCAAGGTCATGAAAACCAAAACAGACTGGGGAACTGTTCCAGAATAAACAGATGGGGGAGACACAATAAATAAACCCAACACGTGATCCTGGACTAGATTCTAGACCCACAGTGAAAGGACCTTAGTGGGACAACTGGTGAAATGTGAGTGAAGTCTGGAGTAGATGTTGTACTGATTGGTCATTTCTGATTTTGGTAAGTTCCTGTGGTCATGCTGACATTTCGAGAAGCTAGGTAAAGGAACTATGGTAATTCTTTGCACTACTTGGCAACTTCTTTTTAAGCCTAAAATTACTTGAAAATGAAAGTTAAAAAAAACTAAAAATAAAATAAAATCCTTGGCCTAGAACAATGCCTGATACACCAAAGGCACGCAGTAAATGATTTAATAAATGTGCATTAAATGGCAGAGCCTGGGAGTTGGTGCCATTTCCAATGGGGTCACCTTGACCAAACTCCCAGAATAGCTGACCTCTAATAGACCCATAGAAAGGGTGGGGCAGGAGCCCTGAAAAGACCCCAGGGGAGGACATCCCAGGTAGAAGGCACAACATGGGACCAAGCCTGTGGTGTTCAAGGAGTGCTGGGGACTCATGGAGTCAAAACTGAACTGGTGTCTGCAGACACATGGGCAGGCCTACTGGGAAAATGGGAAATCAGCAGGCACAGCGATGGCTGTGATGGGGCTTCTTGAAAGTCAAAGACATGGTACTGGTTGCTAATGGGGGAACAGCCAACAGAATGATGAGGCTAATGGGGGTTTGTAGACACTGTGATTGATCCTTATGGGTGTCAAAAACACGTGCGCAATGGCAGGGACAGCGCTGGAGGCAAAAATACACAGTTTAGGCAAAGGCGTGGTGTGCTTGCCGGATGGAGTTCGTTACGGCTGGGGTGGGTACGATGGAGGGAAAGAAGGCTTGAAGCGGGTAATTCGCCCCTTCAGAGCCTTGCCCAACTCACCCAGGCCAGCAGCGTCTCCTTCTCAGCCACGTGGTAGATGAGGCGCAGGGGCCGGGAGGTGCTGTGGAGACGCGCATGCAGGCGGTGGTACAGGTCCGACAGGCGCTGCCGCTCCTCCTCGCTGCTGTACGGGGCCTCTAGTTCCGGGCTGCAGTGATGGGGGGGAGGCAGGGGACAAGGTCAGTCTAGAGCTTTCTTGGCTGGCCTATCTCCCCTCAGTCCAGGGAGTTCAATTAAGTGAGGGAGCTAAGCCTTCCCCATTAGATTTGAGGAATCTCAGTGGTTGGAGGCCCTCTTCTCCATCAGAATAAGGGATTCCTTGAGATGGGTGGTTGAGTGATCCGCAACAGTCAGAGGCCCCTTCTATTCCACCTTTCTAGAGTATGCCTGACTTTCTTTCCCGAGTCATGTCTATGAGATGCTGAACGTGCCAATTAGAAAAGCTTTCCCACCCAGCCAAATGCTCACAGGGTCAGGACCCACCTGGTAAACTGGGGGAGCTGGCGGTGATGGTCGGGGATGTCCAGCGGTTTATAGAGAAAGTGCCGCAGGCCGGATGCCCCCACAGCCTGCACACTGTAGGCAGGGGCACTGGCTGATGGGACAACAGAGAAGCTGACAGCCTCCCCAAGGGCACGCATGGCACCAAGGGTGTGCATGCCATCTTCGACCAGGCGCCGGCAGGTAGCCATGTCATGGAAGGCCTCGGGGTCGGTGCTGAGTAGCAGCAGGCAGACAGGCGTGGCATCCAGGCGGGCCACGTAGGCGTAGAAGAAACCGTCGGGGTTGAAGCGGGGCAGGCACACAGGTGCCCAGGCCTCCCCTGCCGCAAAGGCCGGTGCACCCACCCAGTTGAGCAGCAACTGCAGGTCGGCTGGGTCCAGCCGGCACTCAGCCAGCACAGTCCGCTCCTGGGCTGCTGTCACCAGTTGACCACCCACCGCCAGCACAGACAGTGCCAGGCCGGGCGCTGTGCAACGTCGGAGCAGTGCACCTAGTGCATCCCGCAGCGGGCGAGCAAGGGGCACGCAGCGCACAGCGCCCAGGAGCAGGGCACCTGGGTCCCGTTCCACACTGTCCAGTAGCCGGTCTAGTGTGCGCTCCGAGCCAGCCAGCAGGCGGCGGAGGTCGTAGTTCTGCTTACGGGCAAAGATGCGGGCCACACTTGCACGTGTCAACGTGCTCACGATCTGTGCGTGCACAGCTAGCAGCTCCCCCCTCAGCTGGGCTGCTGACTGAGGAGTCCTTGACACAGCCACCAGCAGTAGTGGGCCCTGCTGGAGGAACACCAGCTTGTGGTCCTCTAGGGGAGGGAAGAGATGGGGCAGGGGGTAGAGGTGAGTCAGTGATGACTTGGAGGGGGACAGGTGAAGCTCTTCTGCCCTTTCCCTGAACACACATACCTCTAGCCTGAGTTTGCACGGTCACTCTGTGGACACTTGGACTAGGGTTAAGGAAAAGCTGGGGGAGTTTGAGCATTTGTAGAGCCATGATGGGATGGTCAAGGAATCAGATTAGACACACAGCATGAAGTTGGGAAAGATGGAGCAAGGACTGACACACAGCCAAAAAGCACCCAACTCAGCCATACAACGCCCCCAAATCATGCTTTCAGATAAATAAGTATGCAGCCAGTCACTTAGATCCCAGTGAATTAATCACTCAGAACCCAGAAGGTCAGACAGATGGACTTCCTTACCCCCTATGCCCCCCTTCAAATGCCTGGTTATCCATCCACACACACTGATCCACTACTAGCTGGCTAGACAGGGACCCAGGAACCCAGACAGACAGACCTACAGCTCGCGAGTCAATCACATCCATATTCTCAGTTACTGTCCCGTCCTGCCCCCTGCCCCTTTGCTCACCAGCATAGATGGCGCGGATGGCATCTCCTGCACTCTGCACGAAGGACACGAGGGCTGTCATCACACCCATGGTAGTGGACAGCGCCTCCACACTACCGTACCTCGAGTAGATGGGCTTGCCTGCCTCGCTCAGCACAAACACATGCTTCCTCTTGCTGCGCCAGTCCTCATCACTGGGGTCTCCACCCTGGCCCCCAGAGCCACTTTCGGGGTCACCCAAGGGATTATTCTCGGAGGCTGCAGGATCCCAGAGCTGAGAGGTACATGATGGGGCCTCCGGCTGGGGCAGTGCTGACAGCAAACCGGGTGGCTGGTCCTTGGTCTCCGATCCTGAAAGGGAGCCCTTGGTGGGTCAGCTGCCTGTAACTCCTACTAACCCCGCGTACCCAAGGACCAACCAAATTGCTACCAGCCCCCCAATGACCCCTGATGTTGACACGGACCTCCAGATATATTCTCTGCTTCTCAATTATATCCTCATGATCTCCTTAAAACCCTGATAATCCAATCTCTCACTGTCATAATTGAACCCTCTATATCCCTAAAGACTAATTATTCACCTTTCAATAACTGCCGTTCACAAGTCTTCAAAGCACCCTGCTTGCCTCTGATTGACTTTTATCTTCAATGACCCCATTAGTACCTCTGACCCCTTCATTTATTCTCCTGATAGCTACTCACCCCCCAATGACCACCATATCTACTAATATTTGGGTCTCTAAATGCTCCCCATCCCCACTACCCTAACCCCTTATTTATTCTCATCCATGTCCACTGATCCCTAATGACCCCAATGACTCTCTTGATCACCCATTTATATTCTTGGTGATGACCACTAATTCTCCCAATGACTGCCATGAATATCCACCAACACCCAGATCTTCAGGACTCTCTTAAGCCCTTAGTTACTCTCACTGCTGTTCACTAACAATCCAGTGACCCCACATGAACATCAATAATACCTGGATCTTCAATGACTGCCTTGACCCACGATCTATTCCACTTCATGTCCATTCCATCCCCACCATGACCGCTATTAACCTCCACTAACATCCAAGGCTTGAAGTGACCTCCACTGACTCCCTTAACCCTCTTTTATTCCATACTCCCTTTTCCCCAATGATCACTACTAGTCTCCACTAACACTCAGGACTTCAGTGACCTCCACTGACTCCCCTGACCCCCTTTATTCTCAGTGACATCCACTCCGCTCCCTATGATAACCACCAAAATATACACTAACACACAGGACTTTAATAATGACCTCCACTGCCTTTCTCCATGATCATTATTAACAATCGCCAATGAAAGCCACGACTCCATTGCCCCCTACTGACTCCTCCCCCATTTATTCGATGTCCATCGATCCCCCACCAACAATCATTACTATCCATTGGCAACTATGTCTCAACAATTTTCCCATAAAATCCCAGTGGCCTCATGTTCCCTCATTATCTCACTGATAGTCATTGACTCCACATGATCCCCAATTACCAATTAACTCCTCCCAATAGCTGCCATCATTGGCCAAGAATTCCCAAGTTTTCAAAGATTCACTCTCCCGCCCTTCTCAGTGATGTCTGCTGATCCTTTCCAATGACCCCATTAACATCCACTAATTCCAAAGTGGTCAATGAGCAATGATTCCCCTCCCCCAATGACTCCCATTGACTCTTCACAGAATACCTTTACCCTCCTACTGCTCTTCTGACTCTCCCAATCATCTCACTGATGTCCACTGCCTCCCCACCAATGATCACCATGAACATCCACTAAATCTGGTTCCTTGAAAGACTCCCTCCAACAAACCGCCACTCACTCCTCCATGATGTACATACTGTTAGCGCCCATTGGCCCTCGTTGACCCCCTTACCCACCTCAATAACTTAAATAACACCCTAGCCCCCAAAGACACGGATTTCTAAATAGTCTGCCTTTGACCCTATTAACTTTCTTTGGGTCAGTCACTGACCTAAATATCCTACGAGTAAATCCCCAATGCCTCTCTCTGACCCCAACTGTTCCCTTTCTGATTCTTCAAAGATCTAAACTCATTCCAAGTCCCCAGTGAACGTTCACTGATGCCCACTGATGCCCTATTCATTCCTCAATGATGTAAACTACCATGTCAGTCAACCATGAGCTCCTACTGACCTGGCTGTGTTTTAAGCTACTTCCTCGAGTTCCAAAACTCTTCACTGGTCCCCCATGGCCCTCCCCCAACAATGACACCCCTTATAGAGTCCTTCTAAGGCCTCAGTGAGGGGAAACATACCTGTTTCCTCCAGGCCCTCGTCTCTGGGATCTGGCGGGTCCTCGTGAACTCCTCCACTGTCACCAGCCTCTTCCCTGGGGGACTGCGTGTCCTCCAAATCCTCCGAGTCCCCGGGGGCAGGGGCAGCAGTGTCTCCTCCGGCCTCCATCTGCACATCCCTGTGAGGGAGGGGAATTGAGGATGAGAAGAAGCAAGAGAAACTTCTTTAACGCTTTCACTGAGTCTGGCACCCCGGTACACGCTCCTAGTGCTCGCTTCCCCTCTGTTTTCAACAGGACGAGACATGAAAAAACATGACCAAATACCGGCACTCTCCAACACTTTCCGAAGAGGAAGGCTCTACCGAGCCTCGGGAAATAAAGATACATAAACACCTGTTTTAACCCGGTATCTCAACTGGCCAGGTACCATTACTTCCCGTAGCCGCGGGAGCATCACACTTCCGGGTGCGGCTGCTGTCTTGCCACACTTCCGGGTGCGATGCCTCTCCGAAGGAACTTCCTTTTGCGGAGTTTCATTCGCTCCTCGCGGAGCCCAATCCCTCTCTCCCACCGCCCCCTGGTGTTCCCTTACCGTTGAGATGGCGAGCGCCACTTCCGGATCTCCGTCGGATCTGGCTGGGAACCCAGCGAGTCCCCTCTGCAGTCCTTTCCACCGCGCTGGCTCGCGCTCCTACTAGAGGCGAGCCGGGCCCAGTTCTACTGAAGGCTGTTGGCGTGAGGGGGGCGCGGCTCACGTTCAGCCAATCCGGAGTACGGCACTGCCTCTTATAGCCCAATCAAGAGAAGCCGGCTTCCCTCCTGCCGTGCTACCCGATGGCCGCACCGTATCTCTACCAATACTGTGCGTTGGATTGCGGTTGCACCCGCCCATTCCTTGATTGACATTTTCCCTAACCCAATCGAAGGCTCGAGGTAATTCCTCTGTTCACTTGAGGAAGTTCACAGCCTAAGTAATGATAGATACCCGTGCCCGACCAATAGACATGCTTCCGCAGAACGGAGGCAACTTCACCAGTCCTTATCCGCCAGGAAAGGCGGGGGGATGAGGGTAGGGTGGAGTCTGGGCAGAAAGTGAATACTTGACGGACAGTCGCCACGTCCAATTGGAGTGCCGTGCGCAACGTGGCCAGCCTATGGGACTCGGCTACTGAAGCGGGAAGCGGGCCTCTCAGAAGTAGAATGTATTCTTGAGTTTCTCTCTGTATTCAGCCAGGCAAAAGGCTTGCCACCTCTGGAGGGAAGCTCCAGCCGTGGACATCCTCACGGCGCGAGGGAGTGAGTTTGCAAAGGCTATATGTAGGCTGATCAGGGCTTACCCAGATGGGCAACAGGCCGAACTGACCTCCCTTTCGAATACAGGACTCTGCAGACCGAGCTCTACAGATTAGGAGTCCAGGTCCAACGGAGGTGCATGTGGACGTGGTCTTGAGAAGCTTCTGAGTCGCGTGGTTTGGGGAAAATACCCCTCCGACCTCTGCGCGCCACTATTGGCTGGGCAAGGGCAGGACTCCCTCCTCTGGGACCCGCCCCCTGGAGAGTGTCAGTATAGAAAAAGGATCTCAGAGGCTGTATCTGATCTTCTTAACCTGGGAAGCATTAGAGAGGTCCTAGCCGACTGTTTTAGTGTGACGGCGAGCGCGGGTGTGGACGCGCCTGCTCTGAACTCTCCTCCTTTGCCCTGAACGTCTCTGCCTGCGACTCCCTGTCTCAGAATCCTTCTGTCTGTGTGTCTGGGTGTCTCTCTGCGTTTGCATCTGTCTCTCTTCCTGTGTCTATGTGTCTGTATGTCTGTGTGCCCTCCCTCCTTATCCCTTTGGCTCTTTCTATTTCTGTCTCCTTCTCTAGGTCTTTGTGGGTCTCAGTCGTTCTTTAATTTTTCTCTCCTCCAGTATGTCATTTTCTTTCTCTTTCTCTTTGTCGCTCTCACATCGCTCTCTCTTGGTCTCTGGCTTCCCACCCTCTGCGGGCCTACAGAGTGGCGCCCAGCCGGAGTCACCCCTTCCCCCAGGGGCAAAGCTCTATCACCCACAGGATTCCCCTTCACATTGGGGCATCTTAGAAGAATGAGACTCTGATCACTCCTCAGGAGACTGAGGGGTAAACTTCCGTGCTAATTTTCATGGTCCTTATCATGTCAGTGAGAATATGCTTTTTCATGAATCAGAATCATCAGTTATACGAACCAAGTCTTCCTACATTCATGTTTCCACCAAAATACATGAAAAAAACCAGCCCTGGCCAAAAGAATGGAGTGAGTTTCTGGAGTCCAGTAAATCCTGGTGAAATAGTAAGACCCTGGATTCACACAAATTCTCTTCAATCCTCATTACAGAGGATCAAGGCAACTGAAGGGAATTTGCGTTCATTTGTAGGACTGCTAAGGAGAATAATTGTGCTTACATCCCAAAGTGGACATCCCCAATGAGCAATTCCTCATTTGGAGAGAATTGATCAGTCTCCAGCTACTTGCCCTCTCATTCTGCTCGAACACTGCCATATTGGGCCCACCCACAAGCCCAGGAAAAAGTCCCTTTCTATGCATTTTCTTTCATGAGGTCACTAGAAAACATTATGTTCCTAGGCCTGAACAACCATGCTTAGTTCTATACTTGCTGCAGGATGTCTTGAGCCCCTGGAATGGACAATTCATAAACCACATTAGGAGCTTACTTGTCGGTGCCTATCTGGATACATTGTGGTGATCCTCATGCTATGAGTTCTTTGCCTTCCAGACTTCTTGAATGCTGAGAAATTGAATGTATATGGTATGAATTGAGTGGGAAGAGGCACACAACTGTGAGCAGAAACAAGGCAACTGTAGCGTATTGTGTAGTTGTGTAGTTGTGACTGGTTCCCTCAGTTATACCTGCAGTGCAGGAACACTTGATGCCTTCGTTTCCCTGTTACCTGCCCCCTCTTGCTGGTCTTTGCCCTGTCTTTCTTTTCTATGCCCCCTCACCTTGTTCCACACTCTTTTTCTGATTTGCATTACTGCTCCCCGCTCCTACTTTTTGTTCCTGCCCCGTCATGCTGTTTTCTGCTCTGTCTCCCCGATCCTCGCTCCTTACCTGTTCTTTGCCCCTTCTGTCTCTACTTGTCACTCTTCTTGTCTTTGATCCCCTGCTGTTATTATTTTATCGCAATTGAGCTGGGAACAGGCATTAGGAGAAGGGGAATGATGATTTTAGCTGCATTTATCGAATTGCTCAACTAGGACTTCCACAGTGAAAGTGATGGATGCTTTCCCAGATACATAATTTTGAATGGAACATCGCCTGCCCTAAACTCATCCAGTGTAACAACTGAACAAGATTAATACCTGCCTACCCTATTGGAGTAATCAACGTAAATGGAACCACAAATTCAGAGCCGTTTACACTCTACTTCATTCAACAGGAGGCTAGCCCTGTTCCCAAGCCTACCAAGAAGTTGATTAGCTAATCAACTTCTTTAAATTTCTAAAATCCCCAAATCTACCAATTTAACAAAACCCTTAAACACATACATTTATCAATATGAATTATCACTGGTGATATTTACCTTCATCACTTGGTTAAAAAATTGTCTGCCAGGTTTCTCCACTGTAAAGCCACTATTTTCACCTTTCCTTACTTTATTCTTTGTAAGTGAGTGGATTACTAAACCCAGCCTGCACTTAAAGAAGCAGGAAGTGAAGTCCTGGAGTGGTATCTACAAGTTATTTGGAATTCCTTTGTAGAAAAGATTAGCCTCTTCTCTCCATTTATTTCTTTATGCAATCTTCTATTTACACCCAAGCTTATGGATACTTATTTTATTCTTTTGGGGTATAATCCTATACCATCATTACATATTTTGGGCAAATTATTCCAGCTTTAGCCATTGTGAACTCTTTTAGATCTATTCCTATGTCATTTTGATATTTTTGTAATTTTTATTTATTTAAAAATTATACGGTACATTCTTCTAGAGTAGACCATGGTTACGAGGGAGAGGTTGGTTAAATGGTACACACTTTCAGACATAGGATGAATAAACACTAGGGACCTAATGTACAGCATGGTGACTATAGTTAACCATACTGTACTGCCTACTTGAAATTTGCTGAGAGCAGACTTTAAGTGTTCTAGGCACACCAAAAAGAGGCGACTATGAGAGATGATAGATGTGTTAATTTAGCCTCACTATGGTAACCACTTCACAGTGTCACAGTGTATATGTATAGCAAACCATCATGCCATATACCTTAAATATATACAATTTTTATTAATTACATCCCAATAAAGCTGGAAAAAATGTACACCCTTGATTTATGACACTAGATGAAGCCCCAGGATCCCTCTGCATTTTCCCTGCTTCAGCCCTTCAATCGGCCATTTCTCCCACGTGCTGCACTCTTTGTCACATCCTACCGAGCTATTTCCTAAGGCAAAGCCTTCCAAGGGCTTCCCACTAAGTTAATAACTAGGAAAAAGTCATAATATAGCTCAGCCAGGGACATGTTGAGCCGGCTAGTAAACTAGGGATGTTATTCCAATATAATGGTAGTGTGTGACATCATGTATTGGCAAGAGTCAGAGAGTGGACATGGGGCCAGAATCTGAGGTTGCTGGTCAAGTGGTATTGACGATTACATTTGGCAGGGGGTGGGGGCAAGGGTGCAGGATTTAACGTCATGGCAGGAACTGCATCAAAGGATGTGAACATGTTTCTGGGATGGCGCGTAGAGATGTGGAATGACTAAAGGACTTACTGGAGAAATGCCAGAATTGCTACGGCAGACAGTAGAAACAGGAAACATAGATCCATTGAGGTAGGCATGTTGGAGTGGATAAACTATGTAATATCGGGTAATGTTTTGCCCCAGGCATCTGAGGGCTGCTAGTATGCCTTGCAATGTTTTTGAACAACGCCTGACTCTTTTCTGACCTGCTCTCCTGTGCTGACTTCCAAGTTAGATGAATCAGATATGAAAAACTTGCATCAGTCTTTCAGGTACCCCCGCAGACAGGTTTGAATAGACACACATAATAATTTGCAAATAATGTCTGCTCTCTTCCTTTCTGATTCAGGGACCAGGAGGCCTCTCTCAGAATATGCTAGCTACTACTTTCAAACCACTACATAGCCAGGGAGGAAGGGGAACAAAGACAAGTAAAGTCACCACAGAACTTTTCTACAATTTTGAAGTCGCATTTTTCCTTGATTCAGCATTTTCTTGTTGTTGATTGTTTTGGAGTATTCTGATAGAATCGGTTCTGACATTTTCTGCTTGTTTTGAATGTGTTTGTGGGGAGATGAGAGTTTGGAGCTGCCTACTTTGCCATTTTGCTGACATTACTCCTCTAAATATTGGTTTTTAAATACCATGCTCTGATTTAAAAAAAATGTGGGCTTTGCAAATGGGTACAGAAGCCAACATGAGATTACTCCTAATAGGCAAAGCTGGAACAATTTGAGCAAATCCATAAATAATATTAGTACTGCGTTATAACCCAGGAAACAAAATAAAGATCTATGAGTCCATAGTAATATCGATGAATAATTGAACAAATAAATAGACAGGGAGAAAGGAGCAGAGCTTCCTTATGGAACAGTTTGAATTCATTCCAATTACTTTCTCTACCCTGGAGTGCGAGCTGAAATTAGTGATTCACTTTCAAGGGATGGGGCATGGGAAGGGAAAATAAACAGTGGGTTTTACAGTGGAGAGACCTG